ACTCTTTATGACGGGGGGAAAACACCGCCGACCATCCCGCGGTGTGAGTGCTCCATGCTGAATGTGCTGTTCTCACAGCGCTCGATTCGTAAAGCACTCCTCTCCCTGGACATCCAGAAGTCGAGTGGGCTTGACGGAATCCCTCCAATTGTGCTGAGGACGTGTGTTCCGGAGTTGGCACCGGTTCTAACGCGTCTTTTCCGGTACTCCTACTCCCTAGGCGTAGTCCCGAAATCATGGAAGACAGCTTTTGTCCACCCGATCCCTAAAAATGGTGACCGCTCAGACCCGTCCAACTACAGGCCTATCGCCATCACCCCCTTGTTCTCCAAAATAATGGAATCAATTATTAAGTGCCAGCTCAAGCGGTACCTTGAGGATCACCAGCTGATTAGTGACCGCCAATACAGTTTTCGTCGGGGTCGATCAGCTGGTGATCTTCTGGCCTACCTGACCCATAGATGGGCAGAGGCAGTAGAGTAGAGTAGAGGGAGGGGCGTTGGCCGTTAGTTTGGACATTGCGAAGGCCTTCGATCGGGATTGGCACAAAGCGCTTCTTTCGAAGCTCCCTTCCTATGGGCTTCCCGAAAAATTGTGCGATTGGATCACCAGCTTCCTTACAGATCGGAGCATCAAGGTCGTTGAAGACGGAGCATGCTCTGACTACATGCCTATTAACGCTGGTGTTCCACAAGGCTGTATGTTATCACCAACGCTGTTTCTTCTGCATATCAATGATATGTTGCGAACTGGTAACATTCATTGCAATGGGGAAGCACTGGTGATGCTCTATACACCAGCCGTGCCAATATTTCTCGGGAAAACGTCGCCGAGTACCGGAACAAATTTGTGTCTGAAGTCGAGTCTTTGCTGAACAAAGTCTCGGATTGGGGGCGACTAAATCTAGTCCAGTTTAATCATCAGAAGAGTCGTATCTCCTCAGTTTCAAGGCACTCCTTGGATCGGAATCCTCGGAGTTGATATATCGAGTGACGTGCGGTTTCGTGGTCACTTAAAAGAGAAGGCCAAATTGGCCTCTAAAAAGCTTGGCGTGCTCAGCAGAGCGAGACAGTATTTCATGCCGGCACACCGCCTGCAACTTTATAAGGCGCAGGTTCGGCCTCACATGGAATAGTGTTCCCATCTCTGGGCTGGGGCTCCCCAGTGCCAGCTCCTTCCACTTGACCGCATCCAGCGTAGAGCGGCTCGAATCGTCGATGACCCAGTCCTTTCCGATCGGCTCGATTCATTAGCACTGCGAAGAGATGTTGCATCCCTTTGCATTTTATTTCGCATCTACCACGGGGAGTGCTCTGGAGGAATTGTTCGGATTAATCCCAGCCGCCAAATTTCACGAACGCACATCGCGGCAGAACTCCCGATACCATCCACACCATCTGGATTATTGGCGGTCCACCATTGTGCGATTTAGAAGATGTTTTCTTCCTCGCAATAATTTAAATATACAAATGCATAATTTAATATGTAATAATATTTTAAATTTGACATATATGTGTAGTGATAATAATCATAAATTTCATGTAATTGAAATAAATAATTTAATAAAAAAGTTTTGGACAAAAGATAGGTATTATCTATCCAAATATAATTTAAGACTGGTAGCAAATGTTATTATTTACTTTATAACTCAGCCAAGTTTTTGGCTACCTAGACTGCTTTTATTGAGCATAATCATTTGACATTTAATTTGGAATCAGTTCCAACTAATTTAAATTATTGAATGTGACAATAGAGGCAATCTCTAGCAATAATAAAAGTATAATTAATTTTGAATACAGCCCACAAATAAGTATTTTTTTTTATACAATAGGGTGAGAAACGAGCACACAGTCCACCTGATGGTAAGTGGTTGCTGTGGCCCATGGACATCTACATTTATCCTCGTTAGCGAATCAAAATGCAAATGCGTTGTCACCCGTGAGGACTAAGATAGAATGCCTCTTTTCCAGTAAAAAGGGTCTCCGGTTCTCTACACTCACCATACGAAACACAGCAGCGTAAAGCTGCTATTTGTCGCTGGTATTCTGTGAGAGCGTGGTCCTTCCCCGGTCGAGCCGACCCATTCGTGCTACAACTATACTACTAATATAGTTGCAGCATGGCTCTACCACGTATAATAAAAATTGTTTACACCTGGTGCATCAAAATATACGAGGCATGATGGGCAAAGAATTGGAAGTTTAATTGTTTTTTAATAGTAACAACATACACATCCTTTGTATTACTGAACATTGGCTAAAAGATTATAATTTCATGTATAATTTCAGAAATCACCAGGTGGTCAGTTCCTTCGAGAGAGAAAAAAGTTTACGTGGTGGCTCCTTAATATTATCAGATAAGTCATTATACGTAAGGATATTATGAGCCTCTCTGTTGAGCGAACTGTAGAAATGGCTTGTGTCGAGCTCGAGCACCTTATTGTTGTAAGTGTTTACAGACCCCCATGTGCCAGACACAGATACCCCGAATGTGGTACATTATTCAAAATTATAAGTTGTAAGGAAGCGAAAGAGGTTTGTAAGGATCGTGACACTTGGCGATCTGTTCTCTCCGGCTACCCCGTTAGGGATTGTGCGTGAAGATAAGTAAGTATAAGTTGTAAATTAAGTAGAATATTTACTTCTAAAACTTTCTCGTTTAACAGTCGCAAATCATTTAATGAATGGGCGACAGTAGGAATTCATAAAAGGTTATACGAGCTTTTTTTTTTATAGGATAAGGGTGACAAACGAGCACACAGTCCACCCGATGGTAAGTGGTTGCTGAGGTCCATAGACATCTACATCTATCCTCTGTTACAAATCAAAATGTAGATGCGTTGTCACCCGTGAGGACTAAGATGGAATGCCTCATTTCCAGTTAAAAGGGCCTCCGGCCACCTGCACTCACCAAGCGAAACGCAGAGGCAAACCTCTACTTCACGCTGGTTTTCTGTGAGGTCGTGGTACCACCCCGGTTCGAGCCGGCCCATCCGTGCGACAGCAAAAACTGCCGCATGGCTCTACCACTGTTAAAAGCTTTATGATGAAAGATCATATAAAAGTAGTGTTATATTTTGAGATTATGTAAAAATATATCCTAAAATATTTAAAATAGTGTGCTCCACTACTAAATCTTTATATTCAAGCAACAAAACTAAAACTGCATCCGACGAAATTAAAATGACATGGAGAATAATAATAAATATTGAAACGGGCAAGGTCAAACCGCGCAACTCGAATTTTCAATTGAATATTAACAATAATTTAACGCGATCTGATCAAAAAGTTGCTATGGCTTTTGAGAAACATTTTACTGATGTTCCTTTTTTTAACAACAAAATCATTAAATTCTTCTCCTACTGTCACCGAATCATTGCTCAAACAAAATGTAAAGGCTTGATCAAATACTTTTAAATTCCATAGAGTACTGCCAAAAGATATCGTTAAATATTTTAAAACAATTGATGTTAAGAAAACGGCAGACTTATGGGGGATTTTCGTTAAAGTTTTTTAATCTATAGTAGATATAATAGCACCTTATCTAGCCACTATATTTAATATAACGTCGAATCTGGTGTATTTCCTGATTTAATGAAACATAGTAAAGTCATACCTATAATACAAATATTTAAATCTGGTAGTACATTAGACCCCGTCCATTTTAGATTAATTTCTGTACTACCAGCATTTAGTAAAATTTTTGAAAAAATTATTTTAGATCAGATGTTAAGTTTCTTTAATATTAATAAATTGCTACATAAAAATCAATTCGGTTTTACAAGGAGTCGCTCGATAACTGACACTAGAGTTGAGCTCATTAAACATATTTTTTGTGCATGGGAGAATTCAGAGGATGCTTTGGGTATATTTTGTGAACTTTTCAAGGCCTTCGACTGTGTTCACCATGAGACATTAATCAGGAAGCTACAGTACTATGGTGTCAAGAACACAGCGCTTAAACTTATTATTTCATATTTAAGTAATAGAAAGCATATGTTATTATCAATGGTAAAAGTTCTTCCGGGTCACCTGTACTAATGGGTGTCCCTGAGGGCTCGATTCTCGGCCCATTCCTGTTTGTGGTGTATATTAATGACTTACCTCACCTTGTAGGGGATAGTCATGATATAGTATTATTTGCTGATGATACTTCCTTGTTTTTTAAAATTAAACGTCTATCATTTAAATGTGACGAAGTGAATAATGCTTTAGCAAAATTAGCGCACTGGTTTTACGTTAATAATCTGCAATTGAACGGAAATAAAACTAATTGTGTTAAATTTACAACAACGAATGTTAAAAATCTCAAAACCAATGTGTTTTTAAATGGGGAGGAATTGAGCCCTGTTCTATCCACTGTTTTTCTTGGCATCACTCTCGACGCAAAACTTCAGTGGGGACCCCGTATGTCCAAATTAGCAAGCAGACTAAGTTCTGCAGCCTATGCTGTAAAAAAAATTAGAGGTCTTACTAGCTGTTACCCGCAGCTTCGCCCGCATGGTCACTGGGAAATGAACTATCCATTGCTTTTTGAATTGAATGAAAACTGAGTTTTATAGATTTGTTAGAGATGCAGCCATTAAAAGGAAACTGAGCAAAATTGATTCGTCAGCCTATTTAAATGTTTTGAAACGCAGCGTATAGGAAAGCATGATAATAGCCTGTTTATACCAAATGAAAACGGGATATTTTTTTAATTAAAGGAAACTGAGCATAATTATCCGTCAGGGATGCAGACTTTTGAAAAGAAACTAAGCTAAATTAATTCGTCAGAGATGCAGTTTTCTGAATTCAAAGGAAACTGAGCCAAATAAAAGATCCATCAGAGAAGCAGCCTTTTGAGTTGAAAGGAAACTGAGCTTAATAGGTCCGTCAGAGGTGCAGCATTTGGAATTGAAAAGAAATTGAGCTAAATAGGAAATTTTGAATTGAAAGGGAAGATCTGTGGGAATTCTGATTAATTGATTGTGGGAATTTTGTAAAAAAACTAACTGAATACTATTTTAAGACGCTACTGTACACAATGCTATATGTTTTTCCATTCGGGCAAAGAATGTGGAGATTCTGGGCATTTGACACACGCGAACATGCTACATACAGCTGACCATGAGAGAAGCACGGTTTTTCTAAGTTGACCCCCGCTACCTGTAGCGTTTGCCCTTGCGCTTTATTAATTGTCATTGCAAAACTGAACTTAATAGGGAACTGCAACCTTTTGAATTGAAAAGGAAGATCTGTGGGAATTATAGGGATTCGTGGTATAATAACAATTTCACCTTTTCCTACGCCTGTCAAAATTGCAGCACCGATGAGGTTCCATCCAAGACGTGTCACACGCAGCCTTGTCCCGTTACATAACCGACGAGCATTTAAATTTCGCATTAGCATGACTGGGACGCTTAATTTTAATTTAAGCTTATGTAAGGGCACACCTGACAACTCTAGAGAATTTATAAACTCTACGGGATATGAATTGCTCTGTTCTGTGTCCATAACTGTGTCTACTGACAAATACTCTGTTATTTCTCCTGCTACTTCGCTTAATATATCTGAATTTATTTTGTTAACGCTCTCATCTTTTTGGTGCAAGAATCGCCCTTTCACATAACCAATTGTTTTCATGCATGTTGTTCGTTAAATCTGAATAAATGCTCGCAATTAATTCGGAATGACTCTGTACTAAATAACAAAAATCTCTCGTCAATTTAACGTAGCCCTCAGTATCCGTTTCCAACCGCCCATCGCCAATTTTTAATAGTGTGTCAGCATAATTTCCAGCATTGATATCATTATACAAATGCACTCTCAATTTCGTAGTTAAATTGAATTTTGTCACCTTGTTCCATAAAATAGACGACTTGAGGCATGCTTTAATTTCATCTGCAAGTGTGCCCTTTTGAATGACAGGTAAAGTTTAGCGAAAGTCACCAGCCAGTAAAACCAACATCCCTCCCATTACATCGGTATTGCTGCGCAAATCCTGGAGCGTTCGATTTCTAGTTCTAGTTCGGAGCTTCTACAGCTTTTTTATGCGACATTGTACTTTCGTCCCACACTACTACTACTACACTACTATTTTTCATTGTCGTAGCATTATTCCTCGTGCACTATTTTTGCTAAAGTTGCAGATCGGCGATTCTTCCTGGGCTAGATTTAGAGGGAGTTTTAAAACAGAATGTGCAGTACGGCCCCCGCTTAGCAGCGTGGCGGCTATACCGGAGGAAGCTACGGCCACAGCAATGTTTTTATCTTTTCGTACTTGCGCTAATAATAAATTTAACAAAAATGTCTTCCCAGTTCTTCCAGGGGCATCTAAAAAGAAAAGTGCACAATTTCCAGATTCAATTTGTCCTAATACTTTGTCAAAAACTCGTTTTTGTTCGGGAAGCAAGCGGGGTACAAATTCGGCTACTTGCTGCTGCAAAGCTGGTTAGATCTTTCCATGTGGGATTGCAAGTAAAAGTAACAAAAAGATCAGGTCTTCCGTAAGTTCGAACATAGGCGAATGCGTCTTGTGTGTACTCATGTAGGTAGCGGGGACTGTTAACGAATGATGAGGGCAGAATTACCATTTTACCTAAATCTCTGCGGTTTACATTGGCGTCGCTAGAAACTGCATCTTGTAAATGTATATAATTCTCAATGCGCAGCTTTTTTCGATTTAAAGATATATAACGGAGACGTTCACTTTCTACCTTCACATACATGTCTACCAAAAATTGATGAAATAATTGTCTACACCGGGCTAAGAGGTTAAAATCATTTTCTCGCAACATCATATGATACGCATAAAAATCCATACATGATACTTTTTTGTTCGGAGTAGGCTCCTTTGTGACCGGGTTAATTAGTGGAATTTGAAAATGATAACCCTCTTGTCCTTTGCAATAAATCAATGGTTATTGCAGAGCGTCATAAAACTTATGTGTATCGGCTACCCGTTGCAACGTATCATCACGTGCTCGCAAGACAATGTCTCATGAAGAAAATTGATCACCACTAATTACGGCTGCTATTTCGTTTATCAAAGGTGCATTGTAGCGCCTTTCATGCTCTCCTCGAGGGTTCCGATCTGCGTGAATGACGACTTTATAATCCTCTTCAGGTAGGTTTTCTAAAGCAGTTTTAAATGTTTTGACTAAAATGTTACGTTCATGCAAGAATCTTTGAATTCTACGTCTCTATGTCTCTCTCAACTCACTGGATGAATTGGTAGCGACGGTCTACCTCAATTTCTTCGTCACCCATAAAATATACTTATAAAAATTTATGCTGTTCGTTTTCAGCTGGAAAAAGTGAACCTATTCTATGATAAATTTGGTAGGCGAAAATCTTATTTCCCGGTCAACTCCGAAGGATGTCATTTGAAAGCTTGAGTTATATTTCCGCATCCTGTTTAAAAAACGCCGTGACTCATTAGTATCATATAAAAAGAGAGTATTCAAAGGTTCTTTTGGTTCCCCAAGTAACGGAAGAGACACTTTGCCATTGGAACAGCACATGCCTGCGGTCTCATCTTTCCATTTTAAAGCGCTGCAAAATCGACTCGCCTTGTCCATCAGTCCGATATCAACTAACCTGTGATTTTTATAATCAATCAACGGATCATAATTGAATGCTGCGTCATTAAAAACCGACCAATTGTTTCTTTGAAAATTTTGTCGACGTTCAGCTTGGAGCTGTGCATTTGCATATCTTCGCACCTGTGTCTATTCTGGTGTTTCAGATGCCCTTATAGTAAGATTGACGTTCAGCTTGCTCAATGAGTCTGTGTTGAGTTTCATCAGGTGTTTCCGCGGCTTTTAAGGCGGCCTGACGTTTCGCTTGTTCGAATAGCCTTTGCTGACTTTTAGCAGGTGTTTCAGTAGCTCTTAAAGTAGATTGACGATCTGCCTGTTCAAGACGCCTTTGCTGACTTTGATCAGGTGTTTCAGTAATTCCTAAAGTATCTTGACGCTCTGCCTGTTCAAGACGCCTTCGCTGACATTGAGAAGGTGCTTCAGAAGCTCTTAAAGTAGCTTGACGATCTGCCTGTTCAAGACGCCTTTCCTGACTTTGAGAAGGTATTTCGGAAGCTCTTAAAGCAGCCTGACGGTCTGTCTGTTCAAGACGCCTTTGCTGATGTTGAGAAGGTGTCTTAGATGCTCTAAAAGCAGCCTCACGCTCTGCTTGTTCTTGCCTTCTCAGTTCAGCATCTTCTAAATATTCTAGCGATCGAGCTAATCTTTTCACTTGTCTTTGAGAAGATACTCTTTAAAGGCTAGACTTACGTTTGCGAGGCATTATGAAGTATCAAAAAACCTATTTATAAAAGAAAACGTTAAAATACCTAAAAGGAATTAAATTTCCTTTTAAATATTTTTTTTTAAAAGCAAATCCAAAATATCTAAAAGGAATAAATATTCCTTTTAAATATTTTTTAAAATCAAAACAACAAAACCAATTCAAGACACAACATGAATCCGAAAACGACAGCCAAAAAAAATCGAATCAACTTAAACCAAATCGCAGAAAACCGAAATCGAAAGCAGTAATCAATATAAATTTAACCATAGAAAAAAGAAGTAAGTGTATAGGTACCGTATACACTATCTATACTATTAATATTCCTTTGAAATATTGTTAAACAACCTAAAACAACGAAAACCAATTCACGATTCTAAATAAACAAAATACAAAATCAAAGCCAGAGTCTAAATATGTATAAAGGAAAGGAATACCAAACAAATCAACAAAACCGATCCAAGAAAATACACAAATCCGAAAATGAAAGCCAATATAAATCCATTCAACCTTAACCAAATTACAAAGCAAATAACAAACAACCGAAATCGAAAGCAGGTAGTCGAATAAGCTACGAAATAAAAACAATTTAAGCGTATAGGTACCGTATGCACTATAAGTTGACGCGCGGCTCAACGGCGGGAGTTAAGTACATGTCAGGAAACATTTCGTTACCGCGTTTTAAAAACCTAGTAACGACATCTAGCGGAATCAATTTAAACTATGTATACGTTAGTTAATAAGAACTCTCAAAAATATTTTTCTTATAATTTTGCACAATTTTTTTTATTGTAATACCGATTCATTCATAACCACATATAAGAAGTGTATTCATTTCCGTTCAATAAATATTACTAAGGCTTATTAATAAGGCTTACTAAGAACTGTTTCTACCACAGTTAAGTAACAGTTAAGGGTGAAAACGTGACAGGTGGTGATAGTATTTTTGATCCATACTTATAATCACGCCTGTAACCCTTGCGGGGTAGGCAGAGCATCAACGGATTACTTAATATCGTCTGCGAGGTTATCGCCTATTCTGTGAATCACAATGCACCAAAACGTTTGAAGAAAATCAGCTGGTGAATTTTATGTTTTTTATCGCTTTCTTCCCGGTCCTGCGTGGAAAAATACAGATCCATACATTTTTATCTTAATTTTGGTATAAAGACATAATAATCCAGATAATCTGACCTTCTGTGTTCGTCCATCGTACCGTCGTCCGTCTTGTAGAATCACGGTGGCTAGGTGGCCTAGCTGAATTTAATTTTGCAACATATTCTATTTTCCCACGGGAATGATATGTTTTTCCGCTGAAAAAAGTAACCTATGTCACTCTACAGCCACCGAACTATCCCCTTACAAAAATCATGCCATGCCGACGCTCTGTTGCGACGTGAAAGAAGGACAAACATGTACAACATATTCGATTTTCCCACGGGAATGAGATGTTTTTCCGCGGAAAAAAGTAACCTATGTCACTCTATAGCCACCAAACTATTCCCATACAAAAATCATGCCATGCCGACGCTCTGTTGCGACGTGAAAGAAGGACAAACAAACAAACAAACAAACACACTTTCGCTTTTATAAAATTAAGTATGTATGTATTTCCATAGCATAATGTCTTATGGGATTTTGCTATGGGGAAATGCGGCTGATTCAGAAAATATTTTTGTTTTACAAAAGAGGGCCATTAGATCTATTTATAATCTAAAACCGAGAGAATCTCTTAGAGATAAATTTAAAGGAATAAATATATTAACTTTGGCCTCTCAGTATATTTACGAAAATTAAATGTATGTTCACAAAAACAAAGGTAGTTTTAGTAAAAAAAGTGATATACATTCTGTAAACACTAGGAACAGACACAAGCTAGTGATGCCAGTTTCTCGACTCCACAGAGTCAGTAATTCATTCTTGGGGCAATGTATACGCTATTACAACAAGGTTCCGGAAAGTGTACAGGCTCTCTCTATTAGCAAGTTTAAATGTTTTATTAAAC